CCACACACACACACCGCACACTGACACACACACACAAATCTGTCATCATGCACACGGGTGTCGTATCTTGCTCAGGTTGCCGAGAGGGAAGTTAATCTCTTGGAGAAATACACTGAGAAAGAAGTAAACAGGATTAGTAAGGATCGCGTTCCCCCAAAAGTGCTGGGGTATTTTTGTGCTCTTATGGTTTTTGTGCCTGCGCATTTATTTGAGGCTATATTGCCCCGAAGGCCAAGCTGTGTGTTTGCATTAAGTGTGCTCTCGTGTGGAAGACTTTGCTTTGTTTGCACTTTGGTTCATATCTTATGAAAGAATATTCGCCCGTTTAGTCTGCAGTAAGAAAGCCCGTTGTTCAGAAACCTATGGCGCTTACACGACAAAGTTATAATTAAGTCCACAATGCCATTAAGCATATTCACAAACAAAAGCAAATAAAATATTTCGTTTCCCACATTTTTGTCTGACTGGCACATTTTTCTTTTGTGATAACCACCCACCCACCCCACCCCCCCCGTGTCCCTGCTTCATGAAAGTGGTCGTGCCCTGTTTGTTCTACATTAAGCTTGAGTTTGTGAGTCTGAGGTCAAACGTGCAGCACATAACTGTAAAAGTCACTGTCGTCTCCATACGTCCAAAGGAAACGAGTTTTGGGATAACAAGTTTCGTGCTACGTGAAGTGGCGTCTGACATCGTTACGGGTGAGAAAAGTGGTTGCCGACTGTCAAGTGTGATGATAGCGAAGGAGAGCCGAGTGTTGTAATTCCAGTTGTACATCCCAACTGAGAGAAGTAAAGAGATTTTTTGTCGTAGACAGTCCATATCTTAGACAGATTTATGAGGATACGTGTCGTTTTTTGACTTTGTGCCGACGCTGCAGTGGAAGGTTTGGTGCGCTGTAATCGCCTTTTATCACTCCCCAAAACACTTCACGCCATCCTTAACCACAATAACAATCCAAGCAGTCCCCCCCCCCCTTTTTTTTTTTCTCTCCGAAACCACATGGGAACCTCGTACTTGGTGAAATCAAAAAACTGAAAGTAAAATAGAGGAAACAAACCTTTGTTCAAGAACATGTTAAATTTTAAGAGATCCTCACCTACCTTGTTATTAATTGATATCAACGAGTTTCAAGGCAATCAGTAGGATTTCCATATGTCTCCCCCCCCC